TTCCATGCAATGTCGTGTGCGATCTAGTGCGAGCACCAGTATTTTTATGAAAGTCCCTACTACTGCACGTCGCTCTGCACTGTGGACAGGAGGCATTTCTTTTCAACCAATACGTTAAACAATTTTTGTGAAAGCGATGAGCACAAGCTGTAACGAGCACCTCGTCACGTTCAGCGAAAATTTCTCTACAAATTGTGCAGACAGTCTGTGAAGGCGCATGCTCATTACTCTGGCGTAACATTATGTTTATTTAAAAAAAAAACTTCAAATAGAAAAAAAGGTAAACGAAGAAAAATAAATCCAAAGAAATATTTTCAAAAAAAAAGACTGGTCTGATTCCATGAGGGCTTATGTAGCCGTTTCGCTTAGAGCATATAAAAGGCATAAGGTACAAAAGAAAACGCACTGCTCGGCGGCATAATTAAACTCTTAATAAAATCGGTTATAGTTCACTTTATATGAAACTAAAAAATTCCGAAAACCTTTATCAAGAGTGCAAAAATAAAATCAAATAAAATAAAACCGATAGGGATAATATCTCGAAATGGGAAAAGCGAGGATACTTTATTTTTATTTGGTAGGGTTAAGTACGCTACTGGTTAGCCAATGGGCATTTAGCCTGATTGCGTCTACATTCCGAATAGCGAAGCACCAAGCCACACAAATAAAAATAAAAATGTTATGTATAACTAAACAAATCTCTGGATGCGAATTTATCAAGTGGTACATTTTTGGGGCATTCAGCCCTTAGAATGGTAATTTCCAGCGAAACTTGTTCGAATCCACCGAAAATCTTTAAACATAACGAAAGCATAACACAAAAAGCAATTATATACGTATATGTGGTCAGATGTAAAAGCATTTAACTTAGTTTATCTGCAATTCCAAAACTCATACGTGCTACTTATTTCCTACGAATCGGACGGACATATCGATTCCAAGGGGGGAATCTTAACAATGGAGCCACGAATTAATGAGGCGCCAAAAGGCAATCTTCAATCGTGTCAGGCCCCACGTTGGGCGCCATTTTTTTGTTATGGGCTCTGGTTGACTGGCCGCTATTAATCCACACTCCTAGT